GTTGATGACTACACTTTGAGAACAATGATACAACTTGTTATGTTACCTTACAATAATTTCATCTAGCCTGTATTTTCTTAGCTTGTTAATATGAATGTTGTGGGAGACTGTGTCAGAAGCCTTGCTAAAGTTAAGATATATCACATGTACTGCTCCCCATCCCCCCGGCCCACAGAGCCTGTCACCTTATTATAGAAAGAAATCAGGGACTCAGGCATGACTTGCTTTTGGTAAATCCATGCTGGCTGTTGCTTATCACCTTGTTCTCTAGGTGCTTCACAATAGCTTCTTGACAATCTGCTCCATGATCTTTCCAGATATTGAGGTTAGACTTACTGGTCTGTAATTCCCTGGATCTTCCTTCTTCCCTTTCTTTAAGATGAACTCTATATTGGCCCTTTTCCAGTCATTCGAGACCTCATCTGAATACAAGTTATCAAAGAGGATAGCCAGTGGCTCTGAAATAACCTCAGCCAATTCCTTCAATATGGTGCCTGTAGCAGCAGAGTACTGGATTTGATGACCCAGTCCTATGTTCTGTTCCTAAAAGGGTTTTAAAAGTCTCCTTATACCTTGCTGAAATGACAGCATAGCCTGTAACCAACAACTTTACTACTCATGTTTTCATCCACAGAAGCAGTTTGTTTCAAGTGAAGTGCAATGAAATCTTCTCTAAAAACAAAAGGAAAAAACACCCTTTCCATTTAAAAAAGGACATTTTCCAGACTTTTGTGGAGATCTGGAAAGCTTTCAGAATGTGGTGTTATGACACCCAATGTCCATCTGTTAAATCAATATTTAGAAACATAATTTAGAAATGGCAGAGGTTTGAGTATCTGTGTCAAATAGATAAAGATGTAAAATAGCATATATATATCATAATGAAAGAGGTCTTAGTGCCTTCCCCAAATCCAGAAACTTAGTAGTGTAAACACATGTTAAACATTGTACAAAATGGTGCAAAGACATTTGAATTAGAAATGAATAAATATAATGATTTTGTTTTTCTCTTAAAAACCTATAACTTACCTTTTATGCGGTTTCTCTCCACTAATTTTATAGTGAATAAGTTTGCCATCAGCAGTGGCCCCTACCAAAATGACTTTCATGTTATAATTAAAGAATGTTCATAGCAAGCAAATTGAAATTTGTAACAGGTATTCATAGCAGATGCTAGACAGATAAAATTAAAATATATCATGTGACTTCAGTATCTAAGCAGCATGAGCTTCAAATATTTAGTACTGTCAAAGAACTTTTGCTTGCCAACCAATAGTACCAAAAACATTGGTCATTCCTGAAAAAATATATATTATTAGGGTGACCGTATGTCTCAGTTTGGCTGGGACAGTCCCAAATTTTATAGCTTGTCCCAATGTCTCAGCCAGTGGGTGAAAATAGAAACATAAGCCCCTGACTAGCACCATCAGCCTGCATTGCTTGGCCCAGCTCCTCCTGAGCAGCAACTGGAGGCAGGAAGTAGGCTGGGCTGGGCACTGCTCCTCCTCCTAGGGCAGGAATCAGGCAAGGATGGGGTTTCAGTGTCCTGGATTCCCTTAAAAATAATATGACCACCCCATATATCATGCTCATGATGTAGCTATCTAGAAGTAGTTGAGACAGAGAGATATCTGAGGACCTGAAATACTCCAAAGCAAACATTAATATTAAATATTACACACAAAAATCATTTAGTAGATACATTCTTAGGAACTACCTTTTAAAAAGTTGCAATCTGTTTGACAACAGTAAGTAAACAGAAAGAGAGGCTAAATTCACCAAATTATGTGTTATGCAATTATTTCCCCTATTTAAAACATCTGTGCCAAAAGCACGGGCACATTTGGATCTGTCTTTGTAAGTCAGGCCCAGCATAGAGACAGGACCCAAAACCACAAGACTATGGTCTGGATTTGGTACAAGACTCTTCTCAATTTGAAGGGATGATGCAAATATAAAAAAACTAAAATGCCAGCAGAGTGCATTTAAATGGTTCCAGTTCTAGTGCTGTAGAAGCAAAAATATAACCACCTAGAAGCTCCTGAATGTTCCTGATTTTAAAGCACAAGTGTTCAAAGCATTAGGAGTGAACTAGAACCTAAAATCTATCTGTGAATAAATCCTAATAAAAATTTGCACAGACATACAGAAATGTTACGTTCCTTCCTGGCATTTTAGATTAGCTGCAGCCTAGTGCTCTGCTAGTGATAGTTCCCAGGAGTCAGGAGCATTTAATACAGCTCTGGAATTTGTCTGCCCTGCCAAAGCTCAGTTAAGGCTTAGTCTAAATGACAGTGTCCTGCTGGCAAAACTCTGAATGTGTCTACACTCAAAGCTCCCCTGCTGTGGCACAACTCCCACCCCACCACCCCTTTGTGCAGCATTACACCACCTTCCCTGAGCAAAATAAGCTTTCTGCAGTCATCCAGGGGCAAGCGGAAAGTGCATGTGGGCAACCTGGGCCTTCTGCTGGCTTCAGCATTTCCTTTAGCCTGTGGTACTTTTCAACGTAAGATCCTCTACCTGCACAGCTGTTGCTGTGGGGCTGCTAGGTGTTGATAGACAGGTGCACACCCTCATGGCTTGGGAGATGCAGATAAGCTTACACAAAGCCTTAGTCGACCTTTTGTGTGTGGAGTAAGCTTTCGTGATTGCTCAAGCAGTTGCTTGAGGCTGGCTAAGATAGGTAGTAGATGTGTTTTGCAGGTAAACTGACATAGATAAAATGGGGTCTATCCATTGCTGCACTCAATAACATGTAGCATTGACTCTTTTAAATGTGCTCACAGGTTTTACAATGGATCTATAACTATATTAATAAAACTCAGAGAATAGAAAAAATGGAGACCAGTGCTAATCAAGCTAAATTGTTTCAGCCCTCCATACAAATATGTATACATAATCAAATCAAACTTTTCAAGGACACTAAATTAATGTAGGGCAATAGTCTTCAAAAAATGATACAAGTATGCAGCTCCAAACATCTAGCCAGACCATTTGTAGTCTTTCCCTGAGGTGCTGCTGTGTGGGACTACTTAGACAGAGACTGAGTGAGACCCAGAGAGGCATTTCAGGCACATTGCAGTGCCTAAATTAGGTGCCTGGCTACATCAGATGATTCAAGGAAACAGGGTTAGGTGCCTCCCAGGATCATTTCTGCTTTTATCCAACACCTGTTTAATGTAAAATTCGTAAGAAAAATCTTTGTCCTAAGTAGTCCCATTAAACTGGATAGAGAGAGTATTAAGTTCACCCCATGGATCTTGAAGTAATATGGGCTCTTTAATTTCAAGAGTGCCAAAGGATTTATAACTGCACCTATGGAGGCAACCTTCTGTCAGCATAGTCTGCTTTATCTGGAAGATGTATGTTTTTCCTTGTAACTCAGCATCATGACTTGATAATATGAGGTCATCCAGAGAGAGATGCAAAAACTGATTAATTCTTTTTATTGAGTGTCTCATGAAACCACATAAAACAGTGCTGGAAATGGTCTCTGAAAGTTGGCTCTGGCTCACTGGCCTGCAGAACTGCTGCAGTTCCCTTCCAGGCAGCATTTTCTCTGTAACATCATTACTGCCCAAGAGATAATCCAGCTTCTAACATTCCTTCAGGCATATATCTCTATTCCCAAAAGAGAAGCAACATGGCCCAAGTTTCAGATTCCTGACACCACTGACTTTTCAACCCAGCAATACCTCAAAATATAGCACAATATTTTATACCACACAGCCATTTGGCAAAAGATCTCTCATTCTCTTTTCCCAGAAATATACCAAAAAATTCTATTACTGTGATTTGAGGGCTCCGGTGTTCTTTAAACTAAACTGCATGAATTTAGTGTTAGAGAACAGCACAGCTATAAATATTAATGCCATCCAGTACAGCTGTAACCAGAGACTAGGACAGAAAAAAAAACCATGTTTGTATGTATTCAGAGCCCATGTTCTCCTATAGGATTTGTTGCCACAAGTTTCTGTGGCACAAAACATAACTTATTTTGCTAAGAAAGGCTGCAGGTTACTAAAAGAATTAACTGGTTTAAACTGTTTTAATAAGATCTCCTGGGAAACTGATATATATAACAGTTCAGTGCCAGTGTCACGTAATAAAATATTTTATAGAGGGTATTATTATGTAAGGTGTAGTGCATCTAACTGGAAAGTATTTGCTGCACTAAAGAAGGGAGAAAAAACTAGATTTGTTAGGCTGGATGTTTGGGAATGACACATGTAACTTAAATTCTACTTAAAACTATTCTAAGTGGAGCCTGCCTAAACGGTTTAACTGAAGAAGTCTTGCCACAGAGGAATTTGATTTTATCATTGATGCAATCACACCAGCAAGGTACCTTATGAATAGGGAAATAAGAAGGTAGAAGGAATAGTTTCCAGAGAGCAGACATCAAAAACACTACCCACTGGACAGGCCTATACATGCTATTAATGCTCAGCAATAAACTCCGGTGCATATCACATTGGAGTTTATTGCTCCCAGGCACCACATTTGAACATGCGCCCTGGACCACAGCACATTGGAGCAGCCCGAGCTGACGGGAGGTCCAGGGGATCCACCTGCCAGCCCGGGGCTGGTTTGACCCAGCTCAGTGCACTGCCGTGAAGCTGTCTGGGGTATGGGGCTGCTTCAAATGCAACCCCCTGCACTGAAGCACCCTTGTGCTCCAGCCAGACCCATCAGCATCTACACAAGTGGTGCTTTGGAATAAAAAACTCTGGTGCAAGACAGTACTTTTATTTACAAGTACTAACCTACAGAGGAGTTAATTAGTTTACTCCATCCTAATAGCACAGCACATGTAAATCCTGAGACATTTACTGTAGAACTAATTAAGCAAATCTGCAGTAAACGCCTCGTGTAGATGCACCCACGCACAGCAAATGGCACGTAAGCTTTCAAGAACCAAGAACTTTAGTCTTCAAAGGCTATATACAAGAAATGCCCAGCTCGTTGAAACAACGTTTAACATATTTTTCTTACAGGCTGTGAGGTTGAAATCCTTGGAGTCAGACCTAGTTATTGTCAACCATATTTCAGTGTGCCATCAGATGCCAATTTTGCTGATGCTGTCCATGATAGTCTTGAATCTTTACGGTAAGTCACTGAAATTCTTTACTACAGAAATTAATTTCTAAAGTATTATTACTTGAAAATTTTGGGCACTTCCTCCAGGAATATTGCCTATCTAGAAGATGGAGCTAAGATTTGTTTTTCCCCTGATACGAAGTAGAGACAGAAAATTATACACTTTGAAAAGCTTTTTTGCTGTTCATGATACAACATGCAGGGATATCACAATTACCAGTAATTGCTCTCCATATACCCCCTATCCATAGGAAAATGAAGCCCCATTCATTTGTATTTCAGACTATTAGAATCAATTAATTGATTATCAAAAAGAGATTTTAAGTGACTTAATGTTAGTGGGAATGATTCAGTATGTTTGGCGCTTTTGAAATTAAAATTGGGTCAGTTTCAGCCATAATGCAGAACGTAGGTAAATACTCCATGCACCCTAATCTATACTTGAGCTTCCTAAGGTAGAAACAAATTTAAAACCATGTTTTACTTCAGCCATTTCCCTTCCAAGTTTTAATCGGGGAGTTTTTAAAACCAGATAAGATCAACAGTATTTAAAGCTAACACAACTCTATTCAGGGCATATTACCTTCATCTCTTCATTTACAACCCTTGATGCTACATAATTTATTCAATTCCAGGATATATTTTGCTGTATGGGTGAGAATCTGAGAAGTCTAGGGAAAAGGTGTTGAGAGCACTCACCCTGACTATAAGTTTCAAATTCTTCAGAGTGTGCTTAAATTTGCTACTGTACAGTATTACAGAGATGTGGCAGAACAGTTCACATGCCTGATGAATGATCAAGGATGGTGATACATTGTTCAGGAAGAACAGACAGGGGAAAAAGGAGGGGTTTTGCCCTATACATAAAGAAGACATCAGCATGTTCTGAGGTGCAGTACAAAGTGGTATAACAATAAAAAGGTATAACAATAAAAATACAGGATTTCAGAAAAACAGACTTTAGCAAACTCAGGAAACTGGTGGGCACAATCCCCTGGGTGGCAAGTCGGAGGGGAAAAAAAGTCCAAGAGATCTGGCAGTACTTTAAAGAAGTCCTTTTAAGGGTGCAGGAGCAAACTATCCCAGTGCAACAAAAGAATGGACAGTGAACCGGAGATCAGTTTGGCTAAACAGCAATCTCTTCAGTGAATTAAAACTCAAAAAGGGATCCTATTAAAAAGTGGAAACATGGCCATATTAGCAGGGAAGAAAATAAAAGTATTGCACAAGTGTGCAGGGAGAAAATTAGGAAGGCCAAGGCACAATTTGAAATGCAGCTGGAAAGGGATTCTGCAAGTATAGGTTTCTACAAGTATGTCAAGAGCAAAAGGAGGACTAAGGAAACTGTAGGTTCCTTATGGAACGCAGGAGGCAATCTAATTACAAATGATGCAGAGAAGGGTGAAGTGTTGAATGCCTTTTTTACTTCAGTCTTCACAAATAGGAGCAGCTACCAGCTGATAAGCACAACTGGCAGCAAAGATAGGGAAGGACTCAAACGGCCTAGGGTAACAGCAGAAGAGATTAGGGATTTCTTAGAGAAGCTAGATACTTTCAAGTCAGCGGGGCCAGATGGGCTGCACCCTATGATGCTGAACACATTGGCTGAGGTAATTTCAGAGCCACTACCTATCTTCTTTGAGAATTTGTGGAAGTCGAGTACACTACTGGTTGACTGGAAAAGGGCAAATATATTGCCTATCTTTAAGAAAGGGAAGAAGGAGAATCCAGGGAATTACAGGTCAGTCAGTCTAACCTGAACTCCATGGCACTACTAACAGCTTGGGTTCCCTGCTCTGCCCCTCTCCTCCCAGTACATGGACCACAGATTCCCCAGGCTCCTTGCCACTGTGCCGCTCTGTCCCCAGGGGACGGCGGGGGAGGAGCAGAAGCTGGATGCAGGAGGGAAGCCCAGAGATCCTGATCACACAGCAACAGGAGTAACAGAGGAGGGAATGGCGGCAGGGTAGGAACCCATATGCTGTGTGTTAACCCCCTGGACAGGGCACAAATTGGACGGCCCTGGTCTAGATGGAACTACTGTAAAGTGGATACATTAACTGGTTGGGGTACTGGGTGCAGCAAATAACTGGGAAGCCAGTTGGTGGATTCTTGAAGTTGGCAATGGACCACAAAGGCTTCAGGGTGTCACCAGTATTCAGATATGAATAAATGGATTTTCTTTATGTATTTAAACTGAGTTTTTTTAAACATGCTAAGAGTACACGCCCTCATTGGGGATCGGGAGTCCAATCATTTAAGCTAACAATAGTGCTTATGCACTGCAATATTCCCTTTCAAATCAATAGCATCATAGAATAATAGAGCTGAAATGGAGCTCAGAGGGTCAACTAGTGTAACTCCCTGCCTAGGGCAGAATAAACCATATTTAAACCATCTTAGACAAATGTCTGTGTGATCTAGTAAAACTTCCAAAGATGCATACTTCACAACCTCTCCAGATAGTCCAGGGTTGGACAGTTATTTTGGCTGGAGGATTGTTTAATGAGTGTTGGTGGGATGTCAAGGGCCACAAGTGTAGCCCTGCTCCTTGACAGGTGCCCCGCCCCCTAGTCACCGTCTTAGGATCTGAAGTCCTGCCCTTTAACCCCTGACCTTTGTATAGAGGCAATTGCATAATAGCTCAAAATATAGCCTTACTCTTATATAATGTGTGTGGGGCCAGGCAGGGGGGCAGGGG